GCTCTGATGCACTGGAGCCACTGAGGCTGGCCCCTCCCCTAACAATATAACTAGAGCACATTCGCATCATCGCGTTGACTAGGAACATGAAATTGTCTAGCTATGACTACTTGTTTCACAGGAGTTTAAATATGAGGAAACACGAAGGCCAAATTCCCTTAATCATCCATTACAATGAGTAAAACCAAAGAATATAGTTCTGATGTGCATCAAAAGATTGTTGAGCATCACAAAATAGAAAGTGGCTGTAAGAAATTAGCTAAAGAATTGAAAATCCACATTTTGACCATCAGGGCAATAATTAAGTTCCAATCAACTAAAGATGTTACGAATCTGCCAGGAAGAGGATGTGTGTCTATATTGTCTTAATGCACGGTGAGGAGGAAAGTTTGTGTGGCCAAAGACTCTCCGAGGATCCCAGATGGAGAATTGCAGAGATTACTTGAGTCTTGGGGGTCAGAAAGCCTAAAAAATATATCAAACAACCCCTACATCACCACATGTTGTTTGGGAGGGTTTCAAGAAAAGTCCTCCTCACTCCTCCAAAAATAAACTCCAGCATATTCAGTTGTCAGACATGACTGGAACTTCAAAAGGGACTGGATTCTATGGTCAGATGAAACAAAAAAAGGGCTTTTTGGCAGCAAACCCACCAGATGTGTTTGGTGCAAAAGGGATAAGTACCCCATCCCTACGGTTAAATATACTGCTGGATCGTACACTCACCTAAAGGATTATTAGGAACACCATACTAATACTGTGTTTGACCCCCTTTCGCCTTCAGAACTGCCTTAATTCTACGTGGCATTGATTCAACAAGGTGCTGAAAGCATTCTTTAGAAATGGTAGCCCATATTGATAGGATAGCATCTTGCAGTTGATGGAGATTTGTGGGATGCACATCCAGGGCACGAAGCTCCCGTTCCACCACATCCCAAAGATGCTCTATTGGGTTGAGATATAGTGACTGTGGGGGCCATTTTAGTACAGTGAACTCATTGTCATGTTCAAGAAACCAATTTGAAATGATTCGAGCTTTGTGACATGGTGCATTATCCTGCTGGAAGTAGCCATCAGAGGATGGGTACATGGTGGCCATAAAGGGATGGACATGGTCAGAAACAATGCTCAAGTAGGCCGTGGCATTTAAACGATGCCCAATTGGCACTAAGGGTTCTAAAGTGTGCCAAGAAAACATCCCCCACACCATTACACCACCACCACCAGCCTGCACAGTGGTAACAAGGAATGATGGATCCATGTTCTCATTCTGTTTACGCCAAATTTGGACTCAACCATCTAAATGTCTCAACAGAAATCGAGACTCATCAGACCAGGCAACATTTCTCCAGTCTTCAACTGGCCAATTTTCGTGAGCTCTTGCAAATTGTAGCCTCTTTTTCCTATTTGTAGTGGAGATGAGTGGTACCCGGTGGGGTCTTCTGCTGTTGTAGCCCATCCGCCTCAAGGTTGTGCGTGTTGTGGCTTCACAAATGCTTTGCTGCATACCTCGGTTGTAACGAGTGGTTATTTCAGTCGAAGTTGCTCTTCTATCAGCTTGAATCAGTCGGCCCATTCTCCTCTGACCTCTAGCATCAACAAGGCATTTTCGCCCACAGGACTGCCGCATACTGGATGTTTTTCCCTTTTCATACCATTCTTTGTAAACCCTAGAAATGGTTGTGCGTGAAAATCCCAGTAACTGAGCAGATTGTGAAATACTCAGACCGGCCCGTCTGGCACCAAAAACCATGCCACGCTCAAAATTGCTTAAATCACCTTTCTTTCCCATTCTGACATTCAGTTTGGAGTTCAGGAGATTGTCTTGACCAGGACCACACCCCTAAATGCATTGAAGCAACTGCCATGTGATTGGTTGATTAGATAATTGCATTAATGAGAAATTGAACAGGTGTTCCTAATAATCCTTTAGGTGAGTGTATATGTTGTGGGCATATTTTTTTGCTTGTTCTTGTTCAGATACATGGTATTATGGATTCTAGCAAATACCAACAGATAAACAATCAAAACCTGACTGCCTCTGCTAGAAATCTTATAATGGGCCGTGGTTGCATCTTCCATCGGGACAACGGTCCAAAACATATCAAAATCAACACAAAAATGGGTAACTGAGCACAAAATGAAGATTCTGCCATGATCGTCCCAGTCCCCTAAACTGAACCCTATAGAAAATGACTGGGGTGAACTGAAAAGAAGCAGCATCAACATGGATCTGGGAATTGCAGGATATGGAGAGATTCTGTATGGAGGAATGGTCTCTGATCTATTGTCAGTTGTTCTCCAAACTCATCAGGCATAGGAGAAAACTCAGAGCTGGTCTCTTGGCAAAATGAGGTTGCAAAAAGTATTTAATAACAGGGAGCCAATAATTATGGCTAGTGTGTTTTGGAGAGAGGCATTTATTTCATTATGTGATTTACCCCCCACTTTCAATTCTTTTACTTCAAGGTTAGATTTTTGCTAATTTTTTGAATGAAAGATCAAAAGGATAAACAATGCAGGTTTGTTTTTACATTTTTGATTATACTTACCAGGGGTGCCATTAATTCTGACCACAACTGTATAAGCAGTATGCTTCAATCTTTAGTCAGATGTACCCTGGTTACGATGACGCATATTCGCCCCGAGCCCCAGCACTGTTCAAATGGTTGCACGCTCCTACTCCTTAGCTACCCAATATCCACCAAAATGTTTAGCGTAAGAGCAGGCACGGCCATTTTCAACTAAAAGTCACCATGAAATCAAATTGGACTATTCTTATTATAAGAATTTTAAGTCGTTTTTTGCTGTGCTTTATTATAAATGATTTATCTGTGAACATCAATATTTTTTTTTTATTTAATTAAAATGTCACATAGCTTCAAAATAGCTTCCAGTTATTTTAGCTGTACAAAAACAGTCCGTAATGCTGCATGATATTTGATCATATTATCTTATTATCGTAATCATAAACGCACTGGTCATAGCACAAATAATTTTACTGCTTTGATAACTTGTTTGCTCGTCTAATTACTCATATAGCGGTTAATGAATTGGAAGTCTCGCACATTCACAGGAAATAGCTTACTTTGCATTGAAAAAAAAGATGGATACTGTATATTTTAGTCACAACATGAGATTTTTTTAGTCACAAAATAAAATGCACCCACTGTTTCTGATATACATCCACTGATATGCAGTAAAAGTTTTGTTTGATTTCTTAAACGTTTGTGCAAACGAGTTCTATCACGATCTAAATCCCAATTTAACCCCTGGAGATACTGTATTTGACAATACAAAGACATTCTTTTTTTCCTTCTCCATAGCAGAAGGAGACTCCACATTTGGAGCGTGACTCCCCGCTGTTCTTTCCAAGTCCAGTACCTCACCTGCTACCATATGCGACACATACAGAAAGGTAACATAAACACACAACAGTTAGGCTCTTTCCAAAATCTTGAATAATTCCACTAAGATGTATATTTTCCTACTATATATCTGCTGTCTCTCAGTGATTATTCATATCTTTCTTTTGTTATGCATGTTTCTCCATTTTTCTTTCCATCTCTTAATGTTTTTTTTTTTTCACTGATTGTTCCCATCTTTCTTTCTGTTTATCCGTCTGTCTTTGTATGCGTGAAGCTCTGAAGATCTGCGGATGGAGAGAGAGAAACTGCTGAGGGCTCTGTTAATGACAGAACTCTGAGACAACACACACAACACTTCTGCTTACAGACAACAAATACTACACAGAAAAAGGAGCCCTTAACCCAATGCACTAATTTATTTCACTGTTACACATTTTACACATAATACATTTTAGCATTTTGCTAATACCACACAGCAGTTTTTAAAACGGTTACAGAAACATTTGTTTGCTTGTTCTGTTCATAGCATGGCATTGGCGCTGTATAAACTGACGACAATGACTGGTTAACTTTTTATAATTCGTATCACTTGTTTTTCTCAATGTTTTATAATCTGTCGATGGTTTTCTGAAGGGCAGAGTTTATTTAAATGCTGCAGGCTTCGCTTAAAGCTGTGAGTGTGTAGGCCCACTGTATTTGGCTATGTTCTGAATAGCATACTATACTAAATATACTATTTCTATAGTATGCATACTGTGTACAGTATGCAAAATACCTGGATGACCTTCCACGTGTACAGCAGAGCACAGTGCCTGGGTCACTATATCTGACAATGCAATGCATTTAAATGTGACTTGTGAACTTGAATATCAGCTGTAATTTTTACAAATTTTTAAATCATTATTTAATTAACCAGCCCAAAAGATATTTTTACTTATAATTTTGAATACATTTTTACATAAAAAAAAAAAAAAAAAAAAAAGATATTACAATTGGATTAAAATAACTTTTTATTTCCGATATAATTAGCGACACTTAACCTGAAAGCATAATGAGGTCATGTAACTATACTACGGTTTAAAACGTGCCCTTATATATTGTACTGCATCAGATACTATTTTTAGACAGTGTATATAGTGAGTAGCCTACTGCGTAACTATGCTAGTTAGTATTCTATTCTGAACATGTGCTTTAATGTCATGCAAAGTCAAAGGTTTCTAATTTATATTTTGTGGAAAATTGTACTGCTATCCCTAATATACGTTTCATATGAAACTGAAGTTTTTATACAATAAACCTCCTTTCTCTCTTGTAATATAAAAACAAGGAAGATATTTCCGGAAGTACATTGACGAGAGATCAAGCTTTTATGATCACATTGCCCACTAGAGGGCATTAAATACACATTTCAGGTTTCCCTTTGAGAAGTAGTTTAGGAGCAACAAAATGAAATGTAAACTTTTTATTTTCTTGTATACAACTTGATTCTCATAAAGGAGTTGCAGCTCCAGTGTTAATATTTTGATATGACCACACTGTAAAAAAAAAAAAAAAAAAAAAATCTATTTCATGTAGCTCAATCACTTTTTTAGGTGTGGATATGTAAATACAAACATAAGTCAGTCACTCAATTTAAATTTACTTTATTTTAAGTTATTATAAAATATCAAAATAAAATAATACTTTCTCCAAACAGCCAAATTCTTGATTTCTCATTTCCACCTATGTTAGGAATTAAAAATATGATGGTAACAGATCGGTAACATGAGTGAGGTGTGCTTCTGCTTAACTACTGCTTGTTGGCATGTGTGGGTACTAGTACAAATAAATCACACTGACTATTTCACTGTCATACGCTTTACTCCTACTGCTCATAAAAGCCTAAACATGCAAATTACTCTTAGTATTTAAAAAAAGCACAGACTAATAAATGAGGCACATTGGCATAAACAAACAGGAGGGTACAGATGGGATACAGCTGCAGGTCAAAAATAAACCTGTTCACATTCCAGCAGATGCACACAAACACTATCCTTAATACACAGACAATGGGTGAAAATACACCTGTGTGCATTACAGCAGGCCCAAAAACACTCTCTGAGTGCAGTAAATAAACACGCATGCATTGACTTTTGGTTATGGTGCACACACCCACACACACACACACACACACACACAACAATTGGGTAACATGTACTACACATACACACATCAACAAGCACATTTATCTATATTTTGTACATTGATTGGTACGGACAATACATTTTTCTGATGCATGACACGGGTATAAAGCACAAAAGTAAGTTGTTCCTGATTCTGAGCTATTTTGGCGAAATGACTTGCAGAACTACATGTTTCAGACATCCACGAACTGCGTTGTGCGTGGTGTAAGGATTTGGCGAATCTTGTAAACATGTTATAACAGCTAGCTCTATTAACTTCATGCAAATTAAAACCTTCAAAGGAAGAAAAAAAAAAGAGTCTTGAGAAGGTCTCTACGCATTCACACATACTCACGGTAGAGTCACATCAACAGGGAGGCACTAACACACTTTTTTATGGTCCTTTGGCTTAAATTTATGGTTTCAGTGAAAGTCTGCCTTTGATTCGGCAGCTATGTTTAGACCCTGGTTTGAGAAGCTATTTCCTGAGTGAACATCACTGCATGTGCATGTACACAAACATACAAACTCACACTCACACACAGACACACATCTTCAGCAAAAACCTTATGAGCAGAATATTAGCTCTAATGCATAAAAAACAATGTACAATATACATTAATGTCAAAATACATATAACTATTTTAAAAATTCTCATATAAATAGTATAAATGGCATAAACTGCTTTGTTTTAAGGGGTTTGTTGAATCCACCAAAGGGGCATGGCCTCATCAATAGATTGGCTTAAAGCAACTGCAAGTCAAGATAGGCTCCGCCTCCTACAGACTGGTCCCCAATAGGATGCTTTGCTGACAGCACAGAAGGGAGAGTTACCAAAGCGTCGGTGTTGCCGTGCTGAAGGAGACAGAAAGAAATTACATTTACTCAAGAGACACATGCTTATGCCTCATTATTTGTAATAAGCCCCACCTCAAATAAGTGACAGCCCTCCTACTGACTAACTAGCAAACCGCCTGAGGTGAATGAACAGCCTGCATGGGAAAGACGCACATTGTGGGTGTGCATGGCAGGAGTCACAGCTGTTTTTAGAATTGGTTCATTATCCCATTAGGCAAACTAACAGAAGGATTCACTCTTGTGGTGTCAAATATATGGTGTCCGCTTCCAGATAAATATTCTGTTTAATTCACAGTACTACTCGGTATATATTTTTGCTGTATTAAAATAATAATTGCTAAAGATGTCATGTGTGTGTGTAATGTGTGTGTGTGTATATATATATACACACACACACACACACACACACACACACACACGACATCTTTATCAATTATTATTTTAATACAGCAATAATATATATATATATATATTTGTTGCATATGTATTAATTTTATGCATTGTTTATATATGAAGTTTTCGTTTACCTGATCTCGAATGGCAGAATAATAACACTGGCATCCCAAAGCAATAGAACAGAGAGACAGCAGTCAAGTTGAAGTCAAGATTGAGCAGGCCAATGCACCGCACCTTAACTTGGTGTGCGTGCGTGTGTGTGTGTGTGTGTGTGTGTGTGTGTTTGTGTCAGGGAATTTAGACCAGAGGAACCTGTTTAGCTCATCGAGGGGGTGTGACAATGCAACTATGCGATCCGGTTACTCAAACCCACTAAAGCATCTAAATCTTCAATGCTGAGCACTGCAGGGCAAAGGACACACCTTAATGTTCCCTACAATCCAGCCCTGCCCTTCTTATAAACACACACACACAAGTTTCTGATGTGGAACAAACTAGGACTTGTATTTGGATCAGTGGCGCTCATTAACATTATGAAAGCCCATTTGAAGCTTCTTTAGACGTCATCAGTGAACTGTAAATAATTTAGATTCTTGCTTTTTTGGCAGGAATTTAATTAAAATAATCAGAGAAATGGCATGAAAGAAATTCCTGTCTCTTCCTGAACTCACATTGGTATTATAGTAGAGTTGTGGGAATATTTTAAACTCACCTGATACCCATGTACCATGCTGAGGATCTCTTTAACCCCCGGATTATAAACATGGGAAGGGGCGTGGCCTTGCATTCGTATCAGTGCTGTGTGCGGGGCCGAGATGAGGGAGCCTGCTGAAGGGTTGTGGCCAGCAGGGAAGTAGCTGATGTTAGGGGGGGAGCCAGGTGGGCTGTTGAAAACAGATAAAGATAGCCAAATAAGCATAACATTTAAAAAATATATATTTAATTATATATAATATTAAAATATGATTCAACTTTCATATAAATTAAATATATATATATATAAAAATCATATATTTTTTTTGGTCGATCAAATAGTCCCGCCCCAATCACACGTCATTGGTCGAGGCAATGCTGCTGTGTTAGATTGATAGTTAACTCTGTGGATCTCCACTTTACTTTTTTGTAGCCTTCCTCAAGCTAGATAATCATTTTTCTTTCCTTAAATCTCACACACACAAACAGTTCCTGAACCAGTTCTTCCACTATAGTATGGAGTGAACTAAAATGCACATTATAGCTATGTTAATGGACCTGGGCGTGACACACTCACTTTGTAGCATGTTAGCCTTGTAAACACACCCAGTCCTGGTTGTGCACTTCTTAAAGACAAAGTCATCATTATGTAGCTGTTAGAGATTCTTTTGAGCAGCTCATCAAAAAAAGCCTGAGGTACATGCCCAAAAAAACACATTACTTTACCCTCAAACACAAACATACACAATTACACAATGGTTGTATGTAAATATTCACACTTTGTGAAACCACTCAGTAAACATGAGACAGCTACTGGTGAGTATTTTGACATATGTTGACTGTGTCTAAAAGGTAAGGATGTCCCGTTTCTGTATGAAGATTCCTCCTAAAAAAACTGGTTCAGACAGGTTTGCAAGGCAATCCAAGTGAATTCTAGATATATCTAAGCAAATATTTAAACCTTGGATATATCTATGCATCTATGATGCCTTTATTCCTCAGTAAAGTACCTAAGTTTTGGATTAATAGGTACACTTTGACTAGAGTATTAGACACATCATTAACTTAAGGATAACTGGTATTCAATCCCCCATTAATCATATTATGTGAATGAAACTGCAGTGAACTAATTGCTCGTACACTGCATATTTATATGTGCATGGCTTATCTTGTAATGAAAAACAACATTAACAGATATAACTCTTACCTGGGATAATAGGTGGTGTAGTTCATATACAGCTGGTTACTGGCAGGGTAGAAGGCCGTTGTTGGTGCCAGTGGCCGGGGACTCAGCAGGAACTGGGACGGGTAGATCGCAGCTGGCTCCACAGGTAGCACTGCTCCAGCAGGGAGGACAGCCGTCCCGTGAGGAAACGTGTACGATGGAGGAGACAAGCCTGAAATGGGGGAGGGTGGGATATTGAGGAATTATTGAGAGAAAAAAACAACCTTGAAGCTTCCAGTTATGGCCATCAGACGCACGGGATTGTAGTGTGTAAATCTGGTCAACGAAATTGAAGACAAAAACGTTTTTTGATTGCACCACAGTGATAATTAAATGGTTTTAATAAGATATATGCTTGATGACAATATGACTAGAAAAGGTAACACTGCAAGATATAGAGTGGTGCAGGGATGACGTCAAAACCCGGAAGACTAATCTGCCACTGGTTCCCTTGAGATTTTCCTATGGGGATTTATAATGATGCCTTTTGTTCTACGGCGTAAATAACACACACTCATAATCGAAAATGTACATTTTGTAGCAATTATTTTCATTTTAAAAACATATGTTTCTAATAAGTAACTAGATAAGAACGTTTAGGTTGTGAGTGTGTGCAGTTTATGCTGTAGAACAAAACATTCAAGTGTCGTCATGTTATGTTTACCAGACCTTATTTTACTCTTAAATGTAAAAAACCCATTATAAAAGCCCATAGGAAAATCTCGAGGGCACCAGTGGCAAATTAGTCTTCTGGGTTTTGACGTCATCCCTGCATCACTCTGTTAACAATGCGCTAGCAATGATTTTAGAAATAATTGAAATTGAAAATAGCTGAAATAACCCAGCAAGAATTGACCTGTTGGAGCTGAAAAAGCTGAACACAGATAACGGAACTAATTTGCTTTTGCTCACTCAAACGCAACCTTTATGTCAGTGGTTCTCAACCGGCAGGGGGCCTCAGCAAACCTCCAAGGGGCCCACAGGATGACTTAAAATTAGGTTAATTAATAAATTATTATTAATATATTGAAAATAATCTAACTCTAAACTAAATTTAAAATGCAAAAAAACACACAAAAATCAAGGTGTAAACTGAAATCATATTTCTTTTTTTTTCTCTAATAACTATTGTTTTTTTACTGAAGAACATACAGATCTTGAAACTTCAGGGATCACAAAATAAATCATGGTTATTTAATTTAATATATCAATACTAACAGTTTTTGAATAAAAAAGCTAGAAAAATACCGGAAATATTGTAACCTTTATTTTTATTTGAGTCAAAAAGTTTGAAAACCACAGCTTTATGCTATATTAGTGAGAATCAAATGAACTTAAATAATATTTAAGTAATATTTAAGTTATTTTGTTTGGCACTAAAATGCCAAACAAAATGTGATTTTGTATATTTTGTCATTGTTATAACAAAATGTTATTAAAATGTTACATAATTAATATTATGTTATGTTTATTTTGTTTTATGTATGCCACTTTAGTGAGAATAAAGAGGACTAAAATGAATTAATTTAAATAATTACTAAATAATACTAATAATAAAATATAATATAAAATTAAATAAAAAAGTAAAGAATTAAAAGACAATGACTAAAAAAGCAAACTGCCTAGTGATTATTTAAGGTATTTTTGCCAACCAATTAAAGGGTGTGGTCCTGACTGAACCTAAGCCAGTTACAATGAGGGCTTTACGCCTTTAAACTGCTTTCCAGTCTTGTTCATTGTTTGTCATCAGACGTTCATGTAGTCATTTCATCATACAAACAATGCAGTGCAAATCAACGGTGTAGCCACCAGCAGTAGCCACCTCAAAAGCCCACCCTAAATTCAACCTGTTACACTGTGAACCAGCCTCTAATTCCAATCCAATTTAAGCATGTCTCTTAGTTACTGCGGCAGGTATTTTTTAAGGTTTTTTGTAATATTAAATGTGCCAAAATATTTTGCTCACCGAATCTGAAAAATACCAGTTTAGTGCAAGAAAAGTATTTCTATTAATTTAAATATATCACACAAAGCATGCAGCAAACCTTAACCCAAAACTGTCAACATCTGCCATTATTATTCAGCTACAAGTCAGGTATGTTCCCTCCACCCTTCAACACACAGCAGCACACAGCCACAGGCGTTCAGGCACCTTTAACCAGACTCAACCTGTGGCATGCAGAGGATTTTACGTGCCGCTGTTGGTTGTTAGGGTAGGAAAGTTACCGAGCTGACAATCTATCCAGAACAAGAACCGAAGAAAGAAAGAAATCTAAACTAAATCAAACAGAAAGTGCCTTTCCATGACACACCATGCGTTTGAAAGTGCAATTGGTGACATTATGATGTGTATTGAAATTTTGTGCACATTTAGATTTAGAAAGATTGCACTTAATCACCCCAAAATCAAAGCCCTCCATTCCCACGCTGTGGAAAAGCATCTGACAAACTCATCAGATTTAAATTGAATAAAAAAAAAACATTCACCCAACCAGATTCCAACTGCTCCTGATGCCCATTCCTGCCTGGACAGGAAATATGGACAGGACACCCACCAAATGAATAAGTGAATAAGTGAATGAATGAGAGAAAGGGGAAAAAACAGGAAGGCGTGAAGCGCCACCTACCCGCACACACAGCTGAGAGAAGCAGACCCAGAGCCCAGCGGCACTTACGTCGTAACTTACATGGTGGCGGCGAGAGGCCGCTCCTGTTGAGCGTCCCCCCCATCAGCACGATGTTCATCTCCTGAGCGGAGCACGCAAACACCTCCACGTAACGCTCCTTCATGCTGCGCTTGTGGCAGCACTGGGCTGCCAGGAACGCCCGGTCAGCTGAACGCATCTGGATAAAAGCATCACCCGAAGGACGACCCTGACCAAACACACAAACAAATGCATAAACTCGATTTTAAAAAGAATGAAACAAGTGCACAGAACGTGTTTCTGTTTTTAATTGTTGGTCAATGTGCTATATGTCTAACTGGTGTTGTTTTCAGCATCTTCTGTCAGGAGTGGCAGTTTTTTAAGATGGCGTGTCAAGTTAAAAGTTGGGAACAGAAAACCATACAGCTATAAAAATACAGTTAGTGCTGACTGGTGGTTCATATGACAATGTGTAGTTAAACATGTAGTTTTCAGTATTCAAATAATTAAATATATTACCACATTTCCATTTGTTTATTATTGTTGTTTATTTTAAAGTTAATCCAATATAATTGGATTGGATTAAAAAAAACTGTAAAAAAAACAATTGTTTTCAATCTTATCATGTGGCAATGAAATATTCCATTCAAATATATATATATATTTTTAAATTAATACCTTTATTAATACAAGGATGCATTAAATTGATCAAAAGTGAAGTTAAACATTGTTACATTTTTATAAAAATTATCAATTAAATGCTGTTCTTTTGAAGAACCCTGAAAAATGTAATCATGGTTTCCACAAAAATATTAAGCAGCTCAACTGTTTTCACCATTAATAATAATAATTAATGTTTCTTGAGCAGCAAATCAGCATATCTGAATGATTTCAAGGATCATGTGACACTAAAGACTGGATTAATGACTGCTGAAAATTCAGCTTTGCCATCACAGGAATAAATTATATTTTAAAATCTATTAAAATATTAAATAGATATTTTCAAATTGTAACAATATTTCACACGATTGCTGTTTTTACTGTATGTACTGTATTTATAATAGAGGAATCAGAATCATTCTAATCTTTGTGTCTAGCTGAAAATATGCAAGCCAGCTTTTTATGTTTCCATCTTTGAAACCTGGTTTGCGTGGAAATATTGAATCTTAAATCCTGTGCTCAGGTTTAGTTCTCCTCAGCGTGCTTTAAAATATTGTGTGAACCAAGGCATGACAGCAACACATTACAAAGGAATGAAGAAACACAAGTCCTGACAGAAGCTGCTGCACTGATTGATTAACCACCCATTTTTATGGATTGGTTGAGCCAAAGGGAGGAACCTCTGTGACAGAACACATTCTGAACTACATAGGTGTGTTTATTATATTGGATTATTTCCATATGAATTCAAAGTAGGTAACAACGGTTAGTAGTATAGTTCATAAGGACATAAATGGGCCTGAGCGCCTTACCTGCTGGTTAAGCACCATATGCACTCCATGTGGTTTGATATCACCAGTGTATTCCCCCAGGAAAACCAAAATGTCCTGGATGCTGGCATCGTACGGCAGACCCCTCAATCTCACGCAGTCCCGAACACCTGTCACTGCTGCCGTTTGGGGCACGAATGTGGGCTGTGGCAACACAGACAGGATGGGGGATGGGGCTACCGGAATCAACGGCGCTGATGAGTATCTGTTCAGTACCTGACACACAAATGCTGGAGTTACAGTATATGACTGGTAATCAATGTTCCCTCTAATTTTTTTTCTTGCTGAGCAAAACTTTTTTCTATTGGGCGGACATTTTTCGCCACCTGAGCAAAAATATTCTTTATACCTGACCTGTACAGCATACGTAGAAACACAATGGTTTCAACATTCAGTTGTAACTTTTAACTTGAATGTGCCATTTCTATGTTATTTGACCCTTGATGTAACTTATTGGTATTAAATCATATTTTCGTAAAACAAGCTTCTTAACAAATTAAGAAGTCACTAAATGAAGCACATTTTAGGTTACCTGATTTTTTTTTGTTTTTTTACAGTGCTGTTAACTGTACAGTCTTTAGCAAGAAATCCTATGAAAAATAATTTACAAAATCTTCTGCAGGACAGTTCAATTCTTTACAATAATAGAATATAGTATGGAAGAAAATTTAGCTGTTACACTGAGATGGTTTGGGAAAACCATAAAGTGTTTTTGTACAGTGAATTAATTGTGTACAGGAAGCATTAAATCATCAAAGTTAAATTATTGTTTATTGCTTATGAATTTCCAATATTTTCTTTAGCAGGGGGTTTCAAACCGTTTAATGGCAAGGAGCCCTAAACAATACCCTTGTGAGATTCTTTATTTAGGCTTATAATATAATAAAATATAGGCCTAATATAATATAATATAAAAAAAACGAATTGAAGCAGGGCTCCAGACTAACTTTTTTTACTAGGAGCGCTGTTGCCCCTGACTGAAAATTTTAGGAGCACAAGCAGAAAATTTAGGGGCACACCTTAAATCAGCTTGCAATGCAATTATTCAAATTTCCCCCAAAATAACTGTAATACTGACAAATTATTTCATAATAAAGAGACTTAACGTACAGATATTACGATATGCAGTTTTATTTTAAGTTCACAGGGCTCCAGACTCAAATTTGAGGGCAGCATCACCTCAAATGAGAACTCACACTGAGTTCTACAAAAAGAAGAAGAAAAAATTCTGGTAGCACTGGGGCTGACAATAAATCAGTAAGCTTAATATAGGGTGTAGATGAAATTAACTTTTGTTATTATTATCATTCATAATGTCTTAATATTAATTAAAAAACAAAAGGAGTGAAAAAGTGTATATTAAGGAGTGAACATAGCCAATAAACATCCTACTGTTTACAATGTTTTTTTTTTTTTAAATAAGTGTTTAATTAAGAGTTATCTAACATCTTAATTTTTTTAGTTTTAGGATAATCTTTGAAGGATGAACAAAAAATGTGTTGGGTCATCTCATATTTTTTTTTTTTTTTTAAAGCATTTATATATGATATTATAGTTTTGAAGTGCTAGAAAAGATGTGTAGGCTGCGTTTGACTATTTGTGTCACATTATCATATTTATGGTTAGAGTTACTTACTCCATTAGCCTAAATCCATGGTGAATGTTGCTGATTTGTGGACTGAAAGCCTTCTATAAGTTTCCACGTCAGCACTGTTTGGTCTGATATCTATGGTTTATAACAGAACTCTGCGCCGAATCGGAATGTTTCTCACTGGATCTCGTAGCGATGTTATTAATTCTGAGGGGAATTCAATGGATTTCTTCACTGGATCTCCTAGTAACAGTGTCGTGTGAGCGAGATCGGCCCGACTGGATCGGGTCTTTATTTTACTGTCAATGGTTCGGGGCGCTGCTCCATTGATATACATAAGAAAGGCTATGCGCTGCTCTGTCTATTATTGGTCCAGAATAATTAACGGTCCGTGAAGCATAAATGAGTAGCCTAGCGTATTTTCGTTCCACTTTCATTTTGTTTGCATTCGCTGCTTGGTAACGAGTCGATAGATCGCTCATTGCTCAGACGCACATAGCAGCTTGTGATATTTGTCTCCGTCTCCTTCCCACAGACACGCGCGCTCTCTATTCTGGTCACACTCACTCATTCCGGATTCATCGACGCGCCCCTTCCACGCTTCACCATGCGTTTAACGTGAGGCAAATTTACTGGTCGCACATGTGCGACTGGATGTAAAATTCAGTCGCACACTCTCAAATTTTAGTCGCAAAATGCGACCATTTGGTCGCAGTCTGGAGCCCTGTGAAGTATTTGAAGTGATATAATATATCAGTTTAAATGCTTCAATTTGTTTACATATTATATTATTATAATATGAAAACAAACTGAAGCATTTAAATAGATCTAATAGCTAAATATTTTCAAGAAAAGTGAATGTGAACTCTTTATAATCTAACCATCCCTGAAACTCCCCCACACACAAAAACATCTATTTAAACTAATGTATTTTGAGTTTGCACGCGGGTGGGTGTGTTACCGTTCTGTGTTCATCAACCGTTATTTCCACCACTTTAATCAAACCACTCTTCTTTAAAACATCATGATGTGATTTTATTGCACGTCTATGAGTTTCTCGTTGCCTCTCGTACTGAGCTATTTGGTCCGCACACACGACTCACTGCCAATCACACGCGCTCACATCATCTTTCTATGAAACCTGTAAACTGCATTCACCAGTTTTCACTCTATAGCGGTTGACCAGAGCACTGCAATTATTTCTCACTTAAACTACAATCAAATGGATTTCCCCACACATTTCGCGTCAGTCATCTGCGTGGCATTTTATTCTTTTCTGCGCGCCGCCGCTTCAGAAGTGCGCGGCCGAGGCATCAGAAGTGCGCGGCCGCGCACGCGCGCAGCTTAGAGGGAACATTGCTGGTAATGCATATTATCAAGAAGACTTTGCCTGTTTATAGCTCCAGGTGTGGAGATGATGAGTTTTAACTGGAGGTACTGATACTGTTTGCCATTATCCTTATATTGTAATAGTATCTTTATTTTGCAATAATAGCATGCACGAGTTGTGATTGTTGCCCAACACATTTGTTGTATCTGCTTAACTGAATACATGACGTTAACTAACCACATAACATGCATTACATTACAGCTGTATATGACTGCCATATGGACATACATATACACTAATCTCTGGCTGATTATAGAACTCTTCTTAAATTGTAACGCTGAAACAATTATTTTCTGTAAAGCTGTTCTGTGAATAATGCACACACAAGATTGGTGCGTCTATATCCTCAAATGTCATAATATATGAAGACAACTTGACCACCGTATGTTTGGTCAGTTTTACATTTGTAGGAACTGATCAAGCCTGCAAAACCATGGACTTTACATTTATCTGACGCTTTTATCCAAAGCGACTTACAATTGCTATATGTCAGAGGTCGCACACCTCAACTAGGAGCAACTAGGGGTTAAGTGTCTTGCTCAGGGACACATTGGTGTCTCACAGTGGATTCGAACCCGGGTCTCTCACACCAAAGGCATGTGTCTTATCCACTGCGCCATCACCACCCCAAACTTTACATTTAAACGTTTAATGTTTTACCTGTTCTGATTTTAATTCAATCCTCTGACCAGTCGAAACCATCTGTACTTTGGTAGAGATAAACTTATAATCAGTTTAAACCCATATATTTGATCAATATTCAATACTTTTCCAATTTCCATAAATTCATTCTTAGGTGAAAATCACATGGTACCATGGATAGCCAAAACCAAAGTAGAAAATAAATCTGCAACCATTTTGATAGAAAAACAACTTTAAAAAAGGCATAAAAAAATCATCTTTATAAAACAAAATATATTTATTATGCATGTTATGTTCATTGCTGTAGTCTAATGATTATGTACTTACTATGTCAAAAAGTAGCTATTAAAATATTGGTTTTAGACAAAAACAAACAAAAGTATTGGTTGTAAAAAATTTTTTTTTACAGTTGTAGCAGGTACATGGGGAGGACCAGTTTGCGTTGTTGTGTAACGGATTAAGCACATGTTCTTTTTTTCTTTTTAAATTTGAATAAGTTTATCAGTCTTTTGGTATCATTTGGTGATTCAATTGTGAATATTCTGCTTATTAAATAACCTAACAACAGCCAACTACTAATATAAGTCATGATGGGATTCTCTTTTCCTGTGTTCAACCACATGCTATTGGTTGAGTCTTGGTTTGATGATGACAGCTAAAAATTAACAAGAAGGAATTCCAAGTAATTCTACAAAATTAGTAACAATGAAATTTTTACATTGAAGAACGGGAGGGCTAAGAGAGAGTTTTTATGACAGCTTTGAAAAGCTAATCTTTTACAGATTACTGAGCTGAGTGTTTGTTCAGCGACCAGGGCCGTTCAGATATAGTACAAACTTGCACACACACTCACACACCCAAAGACCTCACGTTTTACTTACCCCCCTGAGTCTGTCCAACAATCCAAACCAACTAAAAAAATACTCCACACAACTGATGACTTTAAAATAAACAGGAAGTGCCGTCCTCACCTGTTGCACCTCAGCCGCAGTGCTCTTGAACAGCTCTATGTATCTCTTGCCCAGGATGTCCTTGTGTTTTTTCAGCGCGTTCTGAGCGTGCTCCTCGCAGGAGAACAGGACGAACGCATCCCCAGTGGGCCTGCCATCGGGAAAACGTACAAACAGAATGCCTTCGGTGCCGTCGGTCACGGGACACACCGGGGAGAAGAACTGCAGCACCTGCTCTGCGGTGGCAGTGAACGGAAGTCCACGCATGCGTATGATAACCTGATTCTCCCTCGACAGAAAATTGGCCACTTCATTAGAGGTACCTGTCAATCACACATTCACACATATTCATCAGCCTCTCAACGTGAAGCTGAAATTACACAAAACAAACTGAAACCAATGCAAATAACGCTGAGAGCTCTCAAACTCAGATTAAATCAGGTGATATTTTATGTTACAACTGTCTGCACTCATACACTAACTAGTAGAACTAGAATGTCCAAGATTTTCCACATAAAGGGATGGGAAAGGAAAGCCAGTTCCAGTTCCAGTTCCAGTTCCTGCTCCAATTCCTGTCAAGTTCCTTAACTTTTTAAAGGGGTCATATAATGGTACATGCACTTTTTCAAGTTGATTGTACTGAAATGTGTGTTGGCAGTGCCTGTACACAACCATCATTTAATGATAAAAATCTATCCAGTGTTTTTGTTTTAATCTCCTTATATGTTTTCCCCTGGCTCAAATTGAGCCGTTCGATTTTGTGACGTCACTAAATCGGACGCCCCTCCCACGATCGCCCTGAGCGAGCTGTCTAGTCCGTCATTGTTGATACGCTGGAGCAGAATGGCGTCTAAGCGATTGTGGTGTTCTGTTCTTGGGTGTAATAACGAACACAGCAGTCATTTTGATGTTCCTAAATCCGAACCGCTGAAGACGCAATGGCTGAGTTTTGTTTTCGAAGGGAATATTCCCCACGAGCAACGTCAATGCTTTCATGCTTGCGCGGTTCGCGAATCATTTCTCACCAGACTGCTTTATAAATGAGGGTCAGGCTCAGTATAAAGCTGGTTTTGCTAAGAAGCTGCTCCTGAAAAAAGAATCGGTACCAATTAATCGTGTTCCTGCTGCACTTCCAGAAGAATTGAGTGTAAAATTGTATTAACCTTTATATTAATCTTTGCAAATCGCTTGCACGCTTCACGATGAATGCGGCTAAGGTTTACACTCAGGGTAAGTTACATTACGGCATGTTTTCTATGTACAGTACAACGTTCTCAATATAATACATAATCCCACGTTTATAATGAACAACGCGTTATGGTTATTGTGTTATTACAAACTGAGTAGTATACATCAGTAAACACAGTGTTCGTACATCTCACTAAGTCACTCTACCCTGCCTGTAACGTTACACAAAAGATAGATCAAAGTGACATTATGTTAACCAACCATTCAGAAACGTCCTGTTCGAGCCTTAATTGTCGAACTTCTTAGCGGCCGTCATCTTGTTCCCGGTGCGACTCCGGTTCAAACTGATACGGTTGCACAGATGTGTCCTCAGAGACTCCCGCTGCCATTCTTTCTCCAAAATATACCCTCAACTGTTGTCAAGGCAACACTCCACGTGCGTTGTGTCAAAACGCCCGCAGAACAGAGAGGCGGAGTGAACGAAGCTCATTATCATTTAAAGGCATATGCACTGAAACGGCGTGCTGAAAACAGAGCTGTTTTTGACCAGGTAAAATTAGTGTTTTCTTACAATACTAACGAGAATTTTTAATTAAAGTATATTACAAACTTTTCATTTAGACCCTAAAGAATCAAATTAACTTGTATGAAAATGGCATTATATGACCCCTTTTAAGGAATAAATATTTGGAAAAAGAAATGCAATTTCACTGACAATTGATGAGAAAATAAATCAATAATAAAACATGTAAATCAGCTCTCACCAAAGTTGTGTTTACACAGACTTTTAATGAGCACTGTATGTTTATGATTCACCTAATTTGTCATTTATCTTGCTGTCACACTGTTTCCACTGTATGTTTTTGATTCACTAAAAAGAACCAACTCATAGAAGTCATTCGTTTGGGAATCAGACTACACTGGTCACACTGCTCTGTTTTTTCTTTTTTTAATGGAACCGGTTCTGAATAAGAATAGATTACTCATGAAATTGAATCAATTATGGAACCAGTTCTGAATAAGAATAAGAACTGGTTCTTAGTTCCCAACCCTATCCACAGACAAGCCCAAAAAAAAGAAAGAAAGTCTTTTTACCTCCTGCTATCTTTAGAAAGTCTTCACCTGTTGCCTTGTAAACCTGCAATGCAAAATAATGTGATTAGAATTGACAAACTACTACAATTAAAAAAAGGTGGATGTAACAGGAATTTTGTTCATCATTGCACTTAATGTAACTTCATTTACAGAAACAGATTTAAAATATATTTCAGTGTTAATAGCTTTATGAATGTGTGTGTACCTCAATGTATCTGGTGCCCATGTGATGCTTATGTCTCTGCAGGGCCAAATCCCTGTGCTCCTCACTCTCAAACCGCACTAGGGCTTCTCCATTCCTCCTGCCCTGAGCATTCAGACACAATGCAGCACCTCCTCTACACACACACACAGTCAATCATCAGACAGATTGGTATTGTGCACACACTGAATAATGATAATTGATTAAACCAGAGTAGCCTGTGGGTTGTTTGCATACTTGGCGATGTTGAGACCCCTGAAGAACCGGGCGATATCCTGGTCTGAGGACTGCCATGGAAGACCCCGAGCTCTGATCACTGTGTTATCATCCACCCTCTCCATCTTACTGCTATACACAAACATAAATACAGTTTAAACAGAAACATTATATACATAATAATAACATATTTTATAATACTAATGTCCTCTATGAACTATATCCATCACTATTATAAATGCCGCAGCAGCAAATTTGCATTAAAATTCCATGTAAACTTTTTATCCAAACACACAACATGAATTTCCGATCTCCATTCTATAGTCATTTAATTAATTTGATAGAAATTGCAATTCACAAAGAGTAATCTTAATATTTTAGAGTTCTAACAAGAAACATTTATATTCATTATAGAAAATTCCAATATTTAAAAAAAATATTAAATATATATTTTATTTTAAATATGAAACTGTGGTAACACTTTAGTTTAGGGTCCAATTCTTACTAACTAGTTGCTTATTTGCATGCAAATTACTAGGATATTAGCTGTTTATCTGTACATATAAAGCACATTTTAATGTCTTATTCTGCATGAATAAATTTTACATCCCTTAATCCTACCCAATACCTAAACTTAACAACTACCCTACTAATAAGCAGTAATTAAGAGTTTATTGAGGCAAAAGTCATAGTTAATAGTTATTAGTGAGAACTGGACCCTAATCTAAAGTGTAAATGAAACGGATCTTACCAGGTGCCTGTCTCAAACTTGTCATTCACTTTTTCAGGTAAGGAGAATTTGTGGCCTATGAAGAAGAATAAAGCAGGTTCATAACAGAAACACTTATGAATATTAACTCTATGTGTGCAGACAATAATATGTAAGTTGTAAGGACTTACAGAAAGAATCCGAGATTAGTGCTAAAACAATATCTGACATCTGTTGAACTTTGTAAGCAGTGAAAGCATGAAGAGAAGAATCTACAACCACATTCAAGTCTGATCGCAACCGCAGTCAAGGAATACAGGTCTGTGTTTAGTGTTACACCTTAATTACCAGTTAATGACACACTAAAAATGCAATGAACAACAAGAGCAGGGGTTATAATTGCAAAAGGACCGTTGAAACACTGCAGTCTTCAATAAAGAAACATAGAGGGAGAGAATGACTCTCGATTAACCTTTCTTAGGGCAGAAGACTGTGCTATTGCATTGTGTGTTTGAGACTGTGTGTGTATGTGTGTGTGTGTGTGTGTGTGTAGGCATTAAGACATTACAGCGTAGGTGTGGCAGGTTAAGCTTGTTGGCTAAACACTCTTGGCTTTCTCTTGCTGGCTCAATTGAACCCACACTATTGTGAGTCTATTTGCATTTCAAAACCTTGGGATCCTGCAGCCAACACCCTGTTGCCTACCTTTCTCTCACATAAACATTCAAATGCAACTTCCTCAACCTAGCTGTCAGAGAATTATGAACTATTGCGTGTATTAATCTACTCTCATCCCTTGAAGACTTACAAAATACACAAAAAGATAGAATTTGACATGTTTTTAAGGATACAGTCAGCCATGACCTGAAGATCCAAGTCTTTCAGTTCCCCTTCTGATGGGAATTTTTTCTTGAACTCTTTCCGCAGGTCAAAGAACGAGAAGAAACACTCAGGCAACAAAATATTCTGAAAAGCACAAAAGAAAGCAGTCAAGAAAACACATTTGCCCTCATAAATTATTGGCTAAACTTTTTACAAATATCACCCACACACTTGCCGTATTTAGAGATTGATACCTTGCTGGAAGCCTCAGGATGCAGGACTTGACGCACATGCAGCTGTCCATCCGTACAGAGGCAGAAGGAATTCCCTGCACCTGCGTCCACTTCTGCACATAACTTCTGATTTAACTGCACACACAGACACCTTTTGAGTAAACGGCACTTTTGTGTGCGATTCAATACATATCCACGAGACTGCTTGAGCCAATATCAATCCACAAGCTGTTAAAAATATGTTTAATAGTGTGTATAGATATGTAACCATTCATTGGAGTTTAAATGGTCTACAAGCAGACCCTCCTTTAAGGGGAGTTCGAATAGAAAGTTCAACTGTCCTTTGAAATAATCCACTCTCAGATGTAAACATCCTTATGTATTTGAACAGACCATTTTAAAGATAAATGCCAACCTGTCAGGACAGATTATATGAGAATGTGTGAATGATCACCTGTTCGATGGCCTCCTCAAGCGGATCAGCAGTTGTCAAGGCATCCTCGGTGAGTCCACTCACCTCCTGACACTCCTCAGAAAGCTCAATGTGATCTGGTTTGACTAGCAGTTCATTTACCTGACCAGCCTAAAAGCAGAAAGGAGAGAAATGCTCACTTCCACCATATACATTTCCATAAGCAAATAAATAGATGGATGTAAAAAGTAGATAGATAGATAGATAGATAGATAGATAGATAGATAGATAGATAGATAGATAGATAGATAGATAGATAGATAGATTTATTTACATTTATTTAGATAGATATAGATAGATAGAATATTTTGTCTCCGTAATTTAAATAAATCTGCCATATATCAAATAAAATATTTTTTTAACTCTGACCTCTCTCACTTTTCATCTTTCACCGCCACCACAATTATTAGGCTACTATAAAGGCACATGCGCATAGACAGATAGTGTGTATGGGAAGGGGGGCAATAAGTAAATAAATACATTTATCTGGCCTCAGATTTCATAATTTATAAAATATGACATATAGGCTAAATGTAAAATATTTCTATTCTCTCTCTCACTATACACGCAGGCGCGCGCGCACACACACACACACACACACACCATCACGGGAAATATGAAATTAGCCTACCTTTTTAGTCGCCAAATCCACAACTTGCCAAACCACCTGTACAATTTCCTTCTCATCTGTTCCCAATTGGCCCCCACTTGCGCCAGATGTGGTGGCGAATAAAAGCACCAGATAATCGGGATTAACCGTCATTTTAAAAAAGAAGAAAAAACTATTGTCACCACCACGATAGCAAAAGCAAAACCCTAGAGATCAACTCCAGGTGACACAGAAACGAAGAGCCCAGTGACCCCACACCTACGGACAGATCAGTGCCGGGTTCGGACTCGCCTTGGTGTATACCTCGGCCTTTTAATTAGGCTACGTGAGAATTGATGCAAACCAGTCCGAAACCCCTGGCTCTGCTCCGCAATGGCTGCTTAGATCGCGCTGGTTTTGTGTGCGCCCTACCTGGCCACCGCCCACGTGACACAGGTAATAGATACCTGCCCAAGAGAAAGCCCTCCTACTGCTGCTGAGAAACAAGGACGTGGCAGGGCACGCAGAAAAAGCGATCTTGCTACATGATGTGAGGGAATTCAGGATCTGTTTATTACACGTTGACTAATAAAATAACCCAGCATTAACACCTGCTCACCTGCCATCAAACGCGAACAGGATCGTATGTGTAAAAATGCAGCAAGGCACAATACATTTTACAATTGTTCTACTAACTAAATATTTGCCTGACAAAACACATCCATATGCTTAAAATATGTCTGAAAAGGAACACCTCTATATGTAATTCTGTGTATTCGGCAGATATAGGCTAAAAGCACAGTCTGAGGCATCCTTTATTATGTACATCCTATATAATTTATTATGACCATATGCATTGCACTCCTTGTGAATGAAAGAATGAAAGATGGAAACAAAGCATACACAACCCCCTCCATGCAACAAAACTTTACCAACACATGGTTTTGCCCTCACTTTATTAAGTGGCCACATTTGTTCAACAGTGAAAGTCATATTTGTTGTAGTCATTAAATGCAACAGAAGCAAAACTCTAGGCCTTTTGGTGAAATGTCACTTCCTTCTTTTGCGATAATTATATATTTGCTCACTTCAGTTGGTAGTTTAACAAACCAGTGCTTTAATGTCATAAACAGAGAGTATGTGCACAACTCTTGCCCAACCTCTTGCGCCTCCAGCAGTACTGTGTGTGACTGAAGTGTTAGGTGTGAAAATCACTGAAGGATTTCAAAATTTTTCTTAATTCAAAGTTTGAGTGCTTTTATTAGCTTTTAACAATGTTTTCTTTGTTAGCACCTTTTATTAGACTTTTTCAGGTTCGTAGGAGAATGAAGATGCATAATTTGTAAAGAAGTTTCCTTATGTTATTATGAGAAGTAAAAATTGTAAAGCAAAAAGATTAGTTAAAGTCTTTGACATAAATTTGTGTGTATGGAAACCCATAATTATGTTTTTTCTTCTTCTAATCTTTCCCGTTATAATCTTCTGTAAATGCTATATTGGCTATAACTCTCTTGTTTAAACTTTTTTAAAATGATTATTATTTATTGAACAATATCAATTTACAAACTCAATTAGGGAACAACAATAATATGCATAAGAAAATATACACAAATAACATGTAGCCTGTCATGTAGGCCTATCTAAATTTTGTGTCTGCTTAAACAGGTTTGCTTATAAAATAAACAATTCAAAATTCAAGCATATTCAGTACAATAAACAAAAGCATAATCTTAAGACATTTAAGAGGGGTTGCAAAGGGAAAAAAATGAAGCATGTACAAAATCTTAGATGGAAAGTGTCTCATATGACTTTATATAATTCACCAAAGGATTATCTTCTTGTTTAACTTGCCTGATGCTTCCATAAAAAAAGTCCCCAATTTATTATCTGCCTATTTCCAACAGCACTGGACTTCTTTCATTTATTTGCGAGAATCACTCAATTATTCCACTAATTCCTTTTTAATAGGCCTAATGTTCAGTAGAAAAGCGTGAAATATCTGAATTTAATTAAGAAAAGATTCATTTAAGGATGATTTAATTGTAGCCAATACAAGTGTTGTTGATTTTTGAAACTTATTATTAAACTTTTAGGCTATAATCTATTACCCTATACCATTGGGCCACTTTCAGAGTAGGCTATATGTGCACAATTAGATGATTTATATACAGAGCAATTACTAAAATATTGTTGTTCATATATATGACTTTACTGAAATGTTTTAGCGCATTCACTAAAATCTATTTTTTTTTTTCCTATTGTCTTCCAGTTCTGTTGTCTTTTTTTTTTATTAACAACAAGTAATACAAAAATTAGAACAAACACCAGAGGAGACACGAAAAGAAAGAAAGAAAAAAAACACAGAATTAGCAATAATAATAATACTAGAGAGGATAATCAAATACATAAAGGAGATACAAACAGTTAGAGCATGTTAGGACAATAAAATTCACTAGTGATAGCAACAACACAACCGACAGTGATGTATGCCTTCAACTCCGGAAGTATTTTCTTTACCGGAAGTCCTAATGTGATCCAGAAAGATGGCGGGGGATTCTGCAATGGAGCTGCTCTTTCTAGACACGTTTAAGCATCAAAGTGCAGAGGTAAACTTGCGGAGTTTTCCATCTTTACCCGTGTCTTTTAACAGCATGTTGCAGAGACTGTAAAGTCTAACAGACATGAATTTATTTTGCGCGTTCTTAAAGTTTCCATTGTAATAACGCGTTGTGTTGTGCGCTGTAAACAGTTAGCTTGCTAATTAGCACAGTATTTCAAACATATTAAATTCATTCAAAATAGAACTCACATTTTCATAGTAACACATGTTATTCTTAATTTAAAACAATTACGTTATCAGACTATAGATGTTGTATGGCAGAGCAAATCTGACGTTGTTGAATTAGGTGTAAGTTGTTCCACGCAGCAAACAAACTCGTGGCTATATTGTTGTTGTTGGCAGCATATGTGTAGTTTCTATTAACAAGTAACGTTAGCATATACTGTGATAAATCAATTATTAGATTTATTTGACAATAACATGCTCATATATTGTCTTAAATGTAGAAGCCGTTGTTTGTGCAGTAACGCCTCTGGTGCTCACGGGCATGTTTATGTGACAGCACCGCATGTGCATGTAAACAATGAGATTGTCTGTAATGTGTAGAACTTTACTGAGGTAGCCGGTGGTGAAAATGTGTGAGGAATTTGGACTTAAAATAAACCCTCTGTATTTAATGTATCATTTAGCTGGAGATGAATATTTCAGGTTTGATTTATTTAGTCCCCACCTTTTTGTAAAATCAAGTCACCATGTAATCAAAATGGGTAATTCTTGTTTTTTTTTATGTAATATTGCAGTATTTATAATCAATGATTTATCTTTGCACATCATTCTTTTTTTAATGCATGTGCCCTCATAATCTTTAATCAAAATAACGTCCCCTCCCACTTGCAATGACATCTCTTCTCTGATGACGTGTTTACTGGCATGAGGGCGGGACAACCTGTCCCTCACATGAGATTAGAGCAATAGGCTTTAGCGAACCACAACCATCCAATCAATTCCAGATGGTCAAAATCAAGTCCTGCCCTAAATTTTTCTTGTTCGAGAATAGTGCTGCCTCTAACGACTAATCTTTTGACTAATTTTTCGATTAGTAGACTAATCTAAACAACTAATTAAAAAAAAAACATTGTACAAGCAAAGATTAAAAAAAAAATCAATCTCTGAGAGTCCATATAATGCAAGTTTACGTTGAATTAAACATCAACACATTGGGAAGTGCAATGTAAGCGCAAAAAAGTGATGCGGAAGCACAGAGTATTTCACGTCTCACGCATCATAACATGCTGATGTTTATGTCAAGCGTAAGCTCATATGACAGTTGTCAAAAAGCAATGGTTTATAGTTAAAGTTTTCAATATTAGTATTTATCCTAGACACACCTATCGTTTTGCTTCAGAATACATTGTTTCATTTACTGAGGTCCTATGGATTACCATTGGGCTCATTTCGCATGGTTTTCAGTGTCAACTTTGGAGGTCCCGTACAGTTCCGTTATTTTGACCCACAGAGATGGATTATTTTATATGAAGAAAATAAGACATAGGCCTACACAACTGGCATGGCATGAGGAGGAGTTTTGAGGTGCAGTAGGCCTATCCCTTTAAGGACTCTCATTCAATGTAGAGTCTTTTCTTAGTCAGCCTGGTTATTTCTGTTGTGTTTTTCATGATCTGGCGCTTCTGTTTTTTCGATCATCATATCCAGAAATTTACCCCAAGAGTGAAACCGTGACTTATTGTTGACAAAACATGCATTCGTTACATTCACCTCTCTAAAATAATGTCCTCACCTAATGAGAACAGACCTCAAATGCTTTCAGCATAATATAATTGGGTAACTATATAAAGATCAATTATAGTCCTTCTTAACTGATTACATGGCTTGGATGGATTTTAATCCTGAATCTAAAGTTTCTTTACATGCTTCTTACATTTCTCCTCACTCCAGTGTTTTATCCTGTTAGTAAAGGCTGGAAACAGGTCTCTTGTCCTGGAATTTGGTCTTGTTTGGGTGTGTATATGTATGCTTGTGGTTAGTAAGTGCTTTTGTATTGTTGCAGTGATCTGCCACCCCACCGGTGTATTCCAACAGCTCTTTAGAAACCGGTTGGACAGGCCTGTTGCCCTATGACAGTTTGTTGAGGAAAGGGACTGTATGTGCCGTTCTGCCATTTTCAAAAAGAACTTGATTTCGGAGAATGCTTTTGTATTTCTCAATACCTTTACCCCTAGGAATCTTAATCCCAAGACTTTAACAGTTGAATAAGCCTGATTGTTTTTCTGCTTGGCTGCTCTGTCTGGGTGTGTTTATGAGAGAGATCTAGCCTTTGCATCAGTCTATCTGTGATAACATTTATCCTTGTCTTGATAAGCTTCTTAACATTTTTCTGTGTCTGTTCTCTTACAAGTTGACAAATGTGGATGTTGTGCGGTTTCCTTACGGTGTCCTGATCACAGAAGTGAGAGTCATTCCCCCTGGCATCAAAGCACATAGCAACCTGCCTGACAGCAGAGCATTTGGGTGAGAAAACAAACTTGCACACACTCAAAGAGTGTCTTATCTAAAATGACAGCAAACAATCATGTCTATAAAGAATCAAGCTGCCTACTACTATTGAATCTCTCTACATATTCACTACTTATTTTTACCGTATGTGCCATCCACACTGGATGGAAATGTTCTTACGTTAAGGAAGGTTTAGGATGGTTGACTGGTCGTCCAACTAGTTGGTTAATAAGGGCAACTTTTTATTTCTAGCTATTCATAATATCTAACACAATATGATGAATTTCAAGAGATAGCATTTTTTTTCATGCTGA